AAGTTTGAAGCTGAAGATAATTAACTCTTGCATTTTAATGACTCAAAGCACAAATACTTTTAAATGTGCTCAACTCTGAAGACCATAAAGACAGCTGAAGAGTTTTAGTAGTGATATACCTCCTGAAGCGTGCTCAGTTGTATGTCTAGAAGTCATGGCATCCCTAAAATTAAAGGATGACTAAGTACAAGAGATGAGTCTTATGAAGAACCAAACTAAACTGGAAGAAAAAGCTAGAGCTAAAAATACTTGTAAGGGAAAGATATGCAGAAGATGGAGTCTGCCCATGAAAACTAGTTATTTCAGGTAGACATTTTAAAATTTTGTCTACATATTTCTGGAATTGTATCACTAACAAACAGAATTTTATATATACATTATATGTGTATATATATATATATGTGGAAAAACTGTAGTGGTGAGAACATAGAAATTGTCATTTCCATGACTGTCTTCCTAGGAGAAGAAAGATTAATGTCCTCTCTTGGATAGTGATATAGGCTGAACCCCATCAGAGTTTCTTTATGATAGGCTTTTGAGGAAGACACTTGGTTGTGAGCCAGTTGTCAAACAGTGAAAATACACTGCTGGATCAGAAAAAAAAAAAAAAAGACGCAAAAAGAAAATGATAACTAGCTTTGTGACCTGGTAAGAGAGGAAAGGCATATATGGTATAGAAAAGATTGTGTGTATGGTCTTCTAGATAACATTACAGTTCAGGGAATTCTTAAAGTTCTTTAAAAGGAAGTTTTTAGATGGCATCTTACAGAATGGATTTACATCTATATAAGAACTGTTTGAAAAATGTAAAGTACATCAAACTTATCTGTTTTAATTAGAGATATTCATACAGTTTTATGAAAGTATAGAACAAAGGCATGGAACAAAAATGGAGGATCTGAAATTTCTAATGTCGATGAAATAAAAGGATAGCAAAGGGCATTGCAGATCCATACAGTAAAAAATAAATACATGGGAGGAGTATTTTTTGGAGGAGTTAAATGTCAGATTCTTAAATGTTTAGAATTTGCAAATTGGATCCAATTTTAAAGAGCACCAAAATATGGAATACTCCGAATTTGACTCTTAGGAGTGTGTTGTCCTTTGCTTAGTATAGACTCTTGTTTTGATGCCTAATCGAAAGTCTTCACTATTTTGAAAAGTTGGCCAACCATATCTTAATTGTTGCATATGCTCAATTTTTTCATGCCATGCTTTTGCTGGTAAAAAAAAAAATAGAAACAAATATGGATGCAAAAAGCTGATGAAAAAAGATGGCTAGCAGGGGTTATATTTTACACATGAAAAATAATTTGGTACTTCTTGTTTTCTAGTAAATATTATCAATGGAGTTTAATCAGTTCACCAGCCAGTATCTAGGCTAGTAAATTTAGCCTACTGCTGTCACACGAGAAGGAAGCAGATCATTTGTAGGTCTTGTGTATCAACCTTGTATGGATGTCTCAAGACCATTAAGTATCTCAAATGATACTGAATAATACTGTATGGCCACCTGAACTAAGCCCATAACTCTCTATATAAGAGTGAGACATATCATTTTCTGTGCTCTGTTGTTTTTATTGATCATGCCTCAAATGACCAAAATGGGAGAGATCTGCCTGCAAGGTGACCATGCCTGTAGCTGGCATCTTAAATTTAGGTATCTCTAAAGTTGTCTATCTCACATGGTAAAACTATGTTTAGATACCTATTTTCATGTGTGTCTTCAAATTGAACCCTACACAGTTTCTTCTTCATTTTTAAATTTTGGCAAAGCATTTGAAACTTAACTTTTGTGTTTGTTTGCCAAGAGAAAACTAACGTAATTACTGTACAAGCTAACCTCCAGTTCTCTAGAGACATCTTTATTTAGATGAAATTGAGTTTGTCAGAAGAAGTGGACAAGATTTAGGAAAGATATGAACAGGAGACAAAATTATAACTCAATAAAATGTGTTTCTGTAATATCTCACATAGACTTATACAAAAGCGAGATTTTACAGAATTCATAAGATAGCTTTGATCATCTCGATTTTTCACTGAACATGCTCATTGCATTTTTTGAAAATGTTTAAAATAAAGCACTCTGAAGTGCTAAAGTGGTAAATTTTATAAAACATATAAATGTAAAGTATATTTATAAAGTATATTTGTAATAATTTTATAAAAAATATTTTACCACAGACAAAATCCATCCTTTCTTCACAAAATCTCTAGTAAGGAAGACACCTTATATTGATAAGCACCGTTAGCTTATCACTCTGACTTTTAAGCGCTACAGAATATTTCAATTTATTAGTCGTAGAATTATTGCACCTAGTTTTGATATAGAGAAGGAATTGCTATAAACCATATTATTGATTGGCAGAATTATGAAGAAAAAAAAATGAGCTAAGGTATTAAATTAATTACTCTCCCACTCCGGCATAGTTCAATCCCATGTTTTGTTGGAGTTAAAGGATATTTTACAAATGAATTAATAAAGTCAGCATATATAGTTTTCTGGTAGAGTTGGTCTGCTATGTCATATTATATGGGAATAAAACTCATTATCTGTTTTGTTTGTTCAGTAATTATATTTTGTCGTCCTGTGCATTCCTTTTGCTCTATCCATCTCATAATACATGCTGTAAAAGCATACATAAATAAATAGGATAAACAAATTAAGCTGTTTAAATAAATTAATTTACTCTGCAGCTCTGTATTCAAATCTTATATGCTCACTGGATTTCATTTTAATGAAACCCTTCTAAGAACAATACATTGTATGCCAAACAGTGAAATTATATTAAATAAGTGATTAAATACACTGTGTTCCAATTTATACCAAATCTGCACGCAGTGCATGCTTAAATCCTACTAAATCTAAAGAAATAAATCTTCTACATTCTGAAAACATCTGCATTCTAATCCTCCTCTTGAATACGCGGTTTATGGACATATAAACACAGGCAAACTTGTAATAAGCCCAGAGCTATGTCATAGTTAAACTGTCCTCATCAATGTTTTCGACTTAAAAACCCGAGACTATTAAAGTGGAATCCACTTAAATGTCTTGATACGTTGTTCTGAAAGGTCTTCACCCACTCCATTAATAGGACCGTTGAATCCCTTTGCAATCACAAGCTCAAGCTTAGCAAACATTTATCATAAAGTTTTCCTGGAACAAATCTATTGATTATTATAGATAATCATGCTGCTAAGTTTCATAGGAATGCATTCAGCAAAATAAATATTCATCTAGATACTGTGCCTGTAGAACAAGGACTACTACATAAGCAATTTGCAGTGTAAGGAAAGGGAATGTTCTTTAAAAAAAATAGTCATTAAGTTTTCATATGTGCTGTTAAACCCATGCAAATTGACTTTTTCTATTGCATCAAGACAAAAGCATGTTGTAAGGCATTTAGTGAATTAAACATTATTATTATTATTATTATTGTTGTTGTTATTATTCAGGGTTCAGCCATTCTGAAGCCACTGTTAAAAGAAAACAGAACTAACCTTGTTTAAAAATCTAAGCCCCTCCCAGCAGATTTTACTGTAGGAATTATTTACTTTTATCATGATTTGACCACTCCAACCTAACTCATGTCCAATTAACAAAGAGGTAGATTCTTGCAAACTAGCAATGGCAAGGAAAATGCAGGGAAAGATAAAAAAAATCCTCGAAAGTACTATTTTACAACAGTCAGACTCATCTCCTTTTGTTTCTCATTTATAGAATCCTAGAATCATTATGGTTGGAAAAGATCTTTAAGATCATCAAGTCCAACCATAAGCCCTTCACCACCATGCCTGAATGTTTCTGCATGTTTCTTGAACACTGCCAGGAATGGGGACTTCGCCACTTCTTTGGGCAGCCTGTTTCAATGCTTCGCCACTCATTCCATGTAGAAATTCTTCCTAATCTCTAACCTGAACCTTCCCTTGTGCAACATGAGGGCATTTCCTCTTGTTTTAGAACATTGGAATTTCTGTCCAAATTACATGAAAATATCAGCTGTTTCTGCAACATCTCAATAGTTTTCACATAGCAGGACCAGGTCAGTTAAAAGCAGGTTCTCATGCCCTTAGTATTCAAGTGACATCTTGAAGTTCATTATAGTTCTTCCCAATAGTCATGCTGAGCTTTCCCCTGGATTGAAAAATGTGGGTGGATGAATTGCTTCCTGCATGACTAGTGGTGACAAATACTCCTAGAATAAACATGGTTTATTCCAGGTTTGTGCTCTGTGGTGCAGGCATAGACATTTGGACTTTCATCAGATATATTACTAATGTTGATCTAATAGACAGGTTATAATTTCTTTATCAGTAATCGTGCTGAGCTTTCCCCTGGATTGAAAAATGTGGGTGGATGAATTGCTTCCTGCATGACTAGTGGTGACAAATACTCCTAGAATAAACATGGTTTATTCCAGGTTTGTGCTCTGTGGTGCAGGCATAGACATTTGGACTTTCATCAGATATATTACTAATGTTGATCTAATAGACAGGTTATAATTTCTTTATCATCCTCGCTTTTCAAGAGGCCTCTCTGAAATGAAAATGTGGGTGAACTTCCACCCATCATGAGTTCGAGTGCTACCTCTTCCATATTTATGTACAAGAATAAATGGTTCCTCTACCCATGAGGCCAGTATTTCTAAGCTAGTAAACAACATGTATGTTTCCAATTTGATAGCATGCTGATACAAGTGAGAAAAATAATGAAGTAAAACAAAAAAATTATTTTTATAGGTAGTTCAGAAGACAGTTTAAAAGCCTGATGGGATGAGTAGCTCTCAAATTGCATGGTAAAATGTGGAGTCTGTAGTTCTAGACTTGTTTTCTCTGAGAATAATCTGCACATCCTGGAGACCTCAACAGAAGAACAAAAAAACACGTTTTGATTTAGGAGGGAAATTCAGTGTAGGAAAACAATATTTTTAAGCCACAGAGATTGTTTTGTCTAACACGATTTTTTTTTTTTTGAAATTACTTTTTGTGGGGTACAGGAACGTGTTCCAGACAGCCCTTCTCCTGCTCCATCTCTTGAAGAGGGCCGAAGACCTGGCAGCCACCCATCATCTCATCGAAGCAGCAGTGTGTCCAGCTCTCCTGCACGGACTGAGAGCTCTTCAGACAGAATCCGTAAGTCACATTCCTTGTCGCTGCTTCAAATTTGATTGTTTTTTTTTTTTCTAATCAAAATGCCCTCAAATCTCCCATACATCACGTTCTGAAATTCAGCTGCAATAACTATCTCCCAACATTATGCTCCCAGTTTACAGTATCATAATATTTGATGCTACATTAACAGGTACTGATATAAACTGCCATCATGTCATATTAAACATAAAGATATGAGCTATGAAATACAGAATTGCACTCGGAAAGCAATTTGCTAGATTACTTTTAGAAGTGAACATAGACTGTAAACATTTTTTAAAGAAATTGAGTTTTATTTAATCTGTTACTGTAGTTTGATTTTTTAAAATTGATTCTGACTTCGTAGGTAACATTTTACATGGTAGAGTTACTTGGTAAAGGAAAAAAATAGGGTAAATCAATTAAAACCTCTGCATATTTTACAAATCCTTTAAATATGAAAGCATGTAATGGTGAGAAATAGGATACAAAGAGTATTAGCACCTCACAGCTCACAAGATATAGTGAGACTAAACCATGGTACCTCACAGTATTACCATTTTTATCAAGACTCCATGTACAGTATGTAAATTATAGGGCAAAGACTCTGGATTTGCAGGGTGCCACAGTCTAGAAATTGAGGTTTTTAGCATATATTATTTTATAGATATTAACTTACATTCATTTTACACTTTCAGTTCCTTTCGTGATTGCTATACTGCAGATTTCTATACTTACGAGTACTATATCACTCCATAGTGGAATTTGTCAGTAGGTGAAACTGGAGATTTTGGCACACAGATTTGTCTGAGAAAGTGCTATGAAATTTGTAGTCATGTTAATTAGGTGCAGCACATGCATCTTTGAGATTCTTTCCTTCTAGGCTCTTTGCAGACTCAGGAAGCTATCAATTCATTGACTTTCAGATGAAAGATGTTTTATTATTATGTGATGAAAAATGGCTTACCAAAGAAAAAAAACGAAGTGATAAATTCTATGTCCGTAAATGAAGCTTGACCGTGACAAGTTCAAAATTCTATTTTCTTAGCACTTAGGTGATCCAGAGTACAGATCAGACTCACTTCCCATGTACTATGACTACTTGCTATATACTGTATGCTACATACTATAAACTATATACTATGTACTATATATTTCCCTATGCCTTTACAAAGTTCTGAAAAAAACAGCTGGATTTTTTTTTTTTGGTGACTGTTTGAATTGTATATATTTTACAACTATTAAATAAGATTTTCACTATTCACTAAATGAAAAAGCAAATCAAATGAAAAGATCTTTATTGTTTCTGATAAGGTACAACGCTTTTAAGTTTACATAGCTCACTCTGATTCCTTACCAGCAGGTAGGAGTCTGAACTGTACCCACTGTTTCTTGCAGTGTTTAAGGAAATAGAATTCTTAAATACTGGACCAATTAGGTAACTTATTTATTTTAAAAAGTCAACCTTCCTGTACTATTTTTTTTTTTGGTTTGTTAAAGTCACTTAACTGCATCTCCATTTGTGGCATAGGCAAGAATAAGATGACCACAGCAGAAATGAAAAGTACATATGGGAAAATGCTTTCCTGAGAATGGCATAAGCCTCTTTCGAATACAATTTCTAGCAAAATAGGTATAGGGATATGCTTTATATGGGTTTCTCACACGTTTGAGAGCTTTTCAAGCTATCTGATCATCTAATCAGCTGTTGACACACAGTGTATTTTTGAAAAGTTGTGATTTCTTACATGGAATTCCACAATGCTTAATTTGAGGAAGTTGGGGATTGCATGCTAAGGATGATAATATGCAAGAGTATTTCTTCAACTAAATAAGCCAACATCAACAAAAACATCAATAAATAAATAATATGGAGCCTTCTAGTCTCCAGATGTTTCATTTTGATTTTCAGTTCTTATTAATTGAGTCCAAAGATACTAAACCCTTCTTTTTCAAATGCCCTTTTGAAACAATAGACATATCAGGAAGAAAGTCTACCACTGTTTGGCTGCTGCTAATTGTAATTAAAGTGACACTGGAGTTTTTAGAATTCATGTATAATTCAGGGTAAGAATATATAGAGTAAATACAGAAGTGTGATAGTTAATATTATGGCTGATCTTGTTTCTGTCTCTGCTTGTGTCCAGCAGCTGTCCATCAGAATGGGCTATCTATGAACCAAATGCTGATGGGTTTGTCACCTAATGTCCTTCCTGGCCCTAAAGAAGGTGATCTGGCTGGTCATGATGTGGGACATGAGACAAAAAGAATACACATTGAGAAAGGTAATGTGAATATTATGATCCTAATATTCCTGTGCAAAACAAGAATTATCTCAATAGCTATAAGTTATTATAATTGTGATATTTATTTATATTTTGATTTTTAAAATTTTGTTGTTTTAAAAGTTAAACTCTTACCGGGTGGTAACTTTCTTTATTCTTCTACTCTGTAGACTGAGACATTAATGAATTTATATGAGAGAGGAAATTGATAAATATTACAGAAAGGAGAGCTACCCAAAATTTAAGATACTTCTTCATTATCTAACTGATCATTTTATTCATTAATGCTATTATAATGAGTGAAAAACAGGTTTATATTACTGCTGTGCTTCTGGCTCTTCTACAGCACTGTCTAGGTATTAAGTTTCTGTCTCACTCCAGTTGACTTTAATGACCTACTTCCCAATGGGGCTGAGTACCATGAAAATTAGTCCATGTGTGTGAAAAGGAGAAAAGCTAATACCACATCATTAAATTAGAAAATTGCATAAAATGAGACTGGTACACATTATATAATGGGATTTAAATTTAATTGAGTATATGATGAAAGTGTTTGATCTAGGTAAAAAATCTGTATGCGCTCATACTGATTATGGTACCATTTTATCACTATTGGCATGCTAAATTGAGTTGCTGTGTGTTTTCTCTTTTTTGAGGGGGGGCTTGTATTTTTAAAAGGTTCATCCTATGCATTGCATTTATTTAACATATATGAATCTTAAGTACTATTTATAGATTATCAATATTTTGTTAGAGTAGGGGTAAAAATATATTTTTGGACTTATCAAGAAATCATTTCTTTAAGTACAACAAGAGAAAAGTAAAAGATAAAAAAAAACAGACATTGACATGCAGCTGGAGAAACTAGCTGCAGTAATGCAGATTTCAGAATCAAATATTTTGTACAGTATTTTAATACATATAGGATGCTACATTCTCTGTCTTGTGCTTGAACACTGAGATAGGAAAAAGAATTAAACCCTGGGCACTTACATTCTGGACAGGTGGCATTTTTAATGAGATTAGCCCCAAAATTAATGGAAACAACATTTCTTTTATATAAACCATTTAGTTTGGTTCATTGCACACACAACCTGCTTCAGCTTATACTGTGCCCTCACTAAGCCCCTGCAAACTATATCCCTACTGAGAAGTATGGTGTGATCAAATAGGTTTGTTTCGAATGTCCGTAAATGATTTTATTTCAGCCTTTGAAGTTACTGGTAAATTCAGCAGAGAGAAGTATATATTAAGAATTCTTACTATTTTTATATATGTCATTTTTTTGAAGGTTTGTTTTTGTGATGATACATTGAATGTATTTTCAAATACAGTAACCAGTTCAGGCTTTTAGGCTTTTTAAAGATCTGTTCTCTGTAAAATTGCTGAGAATTCTTTTTTATTATTTTTTCCATAGTCCTCGTTTAGGTCAAACCTTCTATTTCTCCCTCTTTTTTCTTTTTCCTTTTTTTTTTTTTTTTTAATTCTCTTCCAGCCTACTGAATTAGTGGTAAATATTCATGGGCTATCCAGATTGATAGGGTATACTAAATTAAAAATTGTTTTCTGTCATGACTGCATTTATCATGCCTCTCATACCAACCCTGTAACTTTAATACTAAACTAATCTGTATTAAAACAAGTGATTTAACTCAGAGATATTTGTGGAGATAGCAATTATCTACTTCTGTCACTGTGAGCTTGCAGTTGGATCCCCAACTGTTGCTTACCACTGTAATTTAGTCAGATTGCAATCACATAAAAAAAATAAGATGTATAGACAGTGATACTCTTAAGCTGAAATTACATTGATCTTGTCATTTGATTCAAAAGAAAAAGAAGTAAAAGAGAACAAAAAAATCTAAATAAGTTTCACTAAGCATTTAAATATTGCCCTGTTTTCGTGTGAACCACATTTGTGCCACCGTATCAACTGAAACTAAAATGGCTTTTAATTATACCTGTGAGAATCTGGAAAATCTTACCTAGTAGAGGAGACTCTTGTCTTGTTTCATCCTGGCCCCTATTCCATTAAAAAAAAAAAAAAGATATACAGATAGATCAATCGATCGATCTCCAGATCTCCAGTGATCTGAACATTGGGAAATTTTAATTTCAGTCAATATAGAATTTATATTTAAATATAAATATAATCAATATATAATTTACCTAGGGAAAAAAAAGTTGTAGCAGAAATAACTGGTCAATGTATATTTTAACAAGAATTCATAAGTCAGAGGGGCTGTCTGTCTGATCTTATCCTTGACTTGGATAAAAAGGAGAAAATACCTCTTATCTTGTATAAAAATAAAGCAAAGGAGATGATTTACCCAGTCTATGGAACATGGTGTGGTGTTTTAGAAACTGCATACCAGCATAGGCAAAATGAATAACAGCTTGGTGGGGTACAGACTTTTAAGACTCATATGCATTTATATTTGAAATTCATCCAGAACTATTATCAATAGCAAAAATAATTTTATTTCTTTAGGGTGGAGTTAACTGTTAAATCTTTGGTGCAGTTAGATCTATTTGCATTTAGTCTGTCTTGAAAATCTGGTCTCAGTTTCTGGTATGTAAAACGTTATGTGGCCTCAGCTTCCATTGAACTTAGTTTATCATTATCCCAGCAAGAATGAAGTTAGATTCTGTGAACCTGATTCATAACTTATTAAAATAGGAAAGTTTGCACCTCAAACTCTAGGTTGCTTGCAGAAGGAAGAACTTATTTTCTCAAAGATCACATGCGATGGGTGTTAAAGATATTTTCTAGCTGCTAATTCCAGAAGTGCAACTGGTCACAGCTTTATATTGGGGCAAGACCCAGTATCTCACATTGTAGCCACTCTCTGGGGTCCATGAGAAGAAAACATGGAATTGTTTTCTAGAAGATCTACACTGTGTCCCAGCCAGGTTCCAACTCTGGACTGTAGGAGACTGCAGAACACTCTTGCCTTACAGTTCATACATAATACAAGATCTGTGTTTGGAGGAAAGTCAGGTACATGAAATTTCCAGTAGTCTTTCTTTCCTTGTTAGAGGATAGGAAATTTTTCAAAAATTACTGAAAGTAGGCTGCAGAATTTCAAATGATCCTGGAAAGAAGGAGGTAAGTTCAAGCACTTGATGTTAGCTCCAGTACTTGACAGCAGTCATCAAGAGCAAGTATCTAATTTTGTAACCTGTGATTATGGACTATTTGATGATGCATATTTGTTTTGTATAAAAACAACTATGTGTCACAGAAAGGACTTATGTGCAGCATAGGGGTTGTATTAGCTGGTGCATAAAAGATCCATTCAGTTTGTTATCAAAAAATTAAGACTCTGAGTCACTTCAGGTTCTTAAAATACTAACATTTCTGTAATACTAAGAGAGTTTTCTACACAATCCCTTGTATTCTTCTGATATATATTTTATTATTCATTGGTGCTGAATGTTAAGCCTAGGAATAGTCTAGAAAAAAAAGAGGATCTGAACTCTATCAGAGTACCTTAGCAGTAGACTGCTGAAACCCAATCCATTTCTTGCTCATTGACTCTGAAGTGTTTCAGCCAAAGGCAGAATAGTTGATGCCTGCTCTAAATCCTGCAGTGTTGGAGGTGTGAAATCTCACTGCTGTAGAAAGAAAGCATCTCTAATCAGTGTGCTTTTTGTAAAAAAAAAAAAAAAAAAGCACTGTAAAAAAAGTATTTTACCACTTTGCTTTAGCCTTTACAACCTCGTGAGGGAGGTTAAACCTATCTCCAGAGTTTCTCCACTGACTGGATCCAGACAGCTATGCACAAGTTCATATTGACTTTAGGCAAATTATAGTTCAACCTATCAAGTTCATTAGATCCCAAGCGCCTAGCTAGGTACCTGCCCCATACAATCTATAGGAACCTAAGGCCCACCTTGCCTCAGCCCAAGATTCCATTTTAGGGGACAAACACATAAAAGTTAGTTTCTTTAACACCTAACTTAGATGCCTAAGTCTTTTATTGGATCTGGCCCTAGGGCATCAGATTAGAATTTTCTGTCTGCATCAATTTATATTTTTTTAGATTGACACCTACAGCAAATGAAGCCTGAATGTCATGCTTACATTTTAAATTGAATATGTTATTTGAGGTGTTATGGGAAGGACACTCTCGTTGAAAATGTGCATGCTGTTTTCTATAACAAAATATAAAATATTCACCATGTTCACAAAAGAAGCTAAACAATTTCTTTCAGAAATGCATTTTAACCTTCATATTAATAGAAATTTCCTAAGTTATTTTCAGATAATCAATAATAACTGCTTCCTGACTAGTATGATATCACCAATTAAAATATAACTTTAGCAAATCCATATATTAAAAATGCCCAGTATTTATGCCTATATCATTATATTTTATGACCTTCTGTAGCGATGTGACATCTAGACATCTGGCTACTGTTTTATAATACAGAATATTCAAATTCCAATATATACTTGATGTAAAACAGAAAATAATTATTTCATAGTTAGAATTCTATTTTCTTGTAGTCTATTGTCTGTCAAAGTAGATACTAATGATAAATATATCAACATACATATTTAGAATTCATTTTATATTATCTGCAGTAAATTCTTATATATTTAAAATATATATCACATTTATATACAGATTAATCAGTATGCAGACATATAAGAGTATATTTTACAAATATTAAGGACTCAGAGGAACCTGTAGCATTACCAAAGGTTCCCTTCTGGCAGAGCTGTTTTCAAGCAAAGGCAGCAGACAGATGCTCCAGCGGTTTACTTAAAAAGTCTGTGTTACGATTTGGGTTATTTCTCTGAGAGAGTCCTTTTCTAAGGAGAGTTGTTACCAATTGACCTGATGGGGAATTCGATTCACCATTCATTTCATTTCATTGCACTTCCTTGGGCAGATATGCTGCTGTCCCGCTACTGCTTAGGTAAACATTTGTTATTATTCCATTTTCAGTTTTGTATGCATGCACACATATAGATGTATTTATCGTATTGA